TCAAGAGGTGTAACTGAACTGCACAGGAGGCCACTGGCCATGCGCACGTGCACCAGCAGAAGATCTCTGCCAAGTACCTCCACCTCTTTAAGGTCGTTTCACCCAATTCTTCTCCTCATCATCTCACCTAGAACTCTATTGCTTTACTGAAAATGTAAATACCCACCAACAAGTATCCATCCACCTTTCTCTTACACGCTTCAGCTGGAGCATTTGTTTTTCCTCCCTCACCTCCAAAGTGTTTTCTTTGTGACAAGCTCAGGAAGGAAGAAAAATGGGAACCAAGCACTTGGAAAACTGCAAACTCTTCATTTTCCTGAGAAAAATGCAGAGCAAAGAGCAAGCCAAGCCCACTGCAAGTGGAGCAGCTGGATGTCACAGCAACCCAAGCAAAGATACCCATCAACAGGTCTGCTGCTGGGTATATTTGAACAGCCCATCCTCAAACACAGCCCATGGGCTCTCCATCACACAACCATCACCCTTATCACAGCCCACCAGGGCTCCTCACCTGTGTGTCATTAGCCAGATTTGAACTCTTGGCTTCAGCTGTTGAATTCCTGCTCTTACTTTCAAATGCTCCTCACCCCAAAACACAACCCTTGTGTTTACTCTCTCATTTCCACCTGCAGTAATGTGAAACAAAGCAACAATCACAGCTTTTGCTGTATCACGTTACTCCCTAACAATACCTTCCAGTAATGCTTGATAAGTTCTGTTTACCAGAACTATCTCAAGTAGAATAACACATGGCAATTACTTTTTTCATTTCAGACTCTTAGTCTGGAGAAGGAAAAGGAAAAAAAAAACACAACACAAAAAAACCTTTACCCATTTAAATAGCATTTGTGTGTGCCAGGAATGCCTAAAGTCAAGAAAACTTGGGTAAACAAAAGTTTTACAGTTCTGACTCCTAGCAGTTGTTTTACTAGGAATGCAACCTTCTGTTTCAATACGTGAGGTAAGTCAAGCTTGCTGTGTTTCTCCTTACAGTAGCTTCACATGTATATCATAGAATGGCCTGGGTTGAAAAGGACCACAGTGATCACCTCATTTCTACCCCCCCCTGCTTTATGCAGAGTTACCAATCACCGGACCAGGCTGCCCAGAGCCACATCCAGCCTGACCTTGGATGCCTCCAGGCATGGGGCATCCACAGCCTCCTTGGGCAACCTGTTCCAGTGCCTCACCACCCTCTGGGTGAAAAACTTCCTCCTAAAAATATGTAGGATATCAAATATTTTCAATTTTTTTTCCAGATAGACAATGATGAAGCTTTCTGTGCTGGCCTCTATCCTTGTGGGAATATGAAGAGAAAACCATGCGTCTCTTCTTCATATATTAGTGCCTCATAATACACACCAGATGATCAATAAACTACATAAAGATTAAATCAGACTGACAGTCCTTAAAAAACGGCCTCTAAGCAGAAACAATTGTTTTAAAAGACTGTGGCGTCTGGAGCATTAAACTCACGTGCTGCCATGCCATTAATCTCTTTGTTGGAAGCCGGTTGATTTCCCCTGCCTGCATCTGTCAATTAAACATTCAGCATTGCAGCCAGCGTCCAACGGTGGATGTTTTGGCGTGCAAAACACCTCTTGGAGACGGCCTGCTGGCAGTTCCCGTGCACGCCGTGCCACTTCCAAAAGACAAGCGGGCTGGCAAGCGAAACTCCACCGTTGTGATCAGGGGATGCCCGCGAGCGCTTCAAAGCAAAACCTTTAAACCGACAGCGCGCGAGGAAAGCCGGACCGTTGCTACAGCACAGAGACGGAGCTGAGAGGGGAAATATTCCCCAGTTTCCCCAACGTGGAGCGCAGCGCACTGCCTCCACCTGGAGCTGCAGCGCTGAGCCGCCGGCCGGGGGCCGCTCCCGGGGCGCCGCGAGCCCGTATGGCTGTGCCTCCCACCCCCCCACAAAGCCCTCCTTAACTTTGCACGAGAGGAGAACAGCGGCGGGGAGGGGGGAAGAGATAAGTAACTAAAAGTAACGAAGAGAACGATACAAAGAGAAACAGAAAGAAAAAAAAAAAAAAGAAAGAAAGAAAGAGGAGAAAAAAAAAGCAGCGTTGTGCCGTGGGTTGTTTGCGTTAAGCAGTGAGGCGGGGGGCTGCTCCCAGCGGGGAGGGTCCTCGGATCCGCTCCGCTCCCCTTTTGTTCGCTGAGCGGAGCGGTCCGGCTCTCCCCAGCTGGACCCGAAGCGAGAAACCCGGGGAGAGGAAAGGAAAGAAGGGAGAAGGGGCACGGAGCAGCTCCGCGGCAGCTCACCCATGACGAGGCAGAGGAAGTCGAGGCAGATGAGCAGGACTTTCTTGCTGCTGCCCTTGGCCGGGTTGTTGTTCAGCGCCGGGCTGCCCCCATTCTTGCTCTCCGGCGCGATCGCCTTGTCGTACTTGTAGCTCTGCATTATCGGGGGCGAACGCCCGAGCCGTGCCGTGCTGTGCCGGGCCGCGCCGAGCCGAGCCCGCACGCGGTGCGCCGGGGAGGTGCTGCCCGCTCTCCCGGCCTCTCCGCTGGGGCACGGGAGGAGAAACGCGGGCGGGGTCTTCCCAACACCGACACCGCGGGAGGGAAGGAAAAAAAAAAAAAAAAAAA